CAATACTTTTGCGAGATCCGGCAATACTTTTGCGAGATCCCGCATTAGTTTTGCGAGATCTCGCAAAAGTTAATTTTTTTGCGAGATCTCGCAATACTTTTGTGAGATCCCGCAATACTTTTGCGAGATCCCGCAATATTTTTGCCAAATCTCGCAATACTTTTGCCGGATCCCGCAATACTTTTGCGAGATCCCGCAATACTTTTGCGAGATCAGGCAATACTTTTGCGAGATCCGGCAATACTTTTGCCAGATCTCGCAATACTTTTGCCGGATCCCGCAATAGTTTTGCGAGATCCCGCAATACTTTTGCGAGATCAGGCAATACTTTTGCCGGATCCCGCAATACTTTTGCGAAATCTTGCAAAAGTATTGCGGGATCTTGCAAAAGTTTATTTTTTGCAAGATCTCGCAAAAGTTTATTTTTTCCCTCCATGTCCCTTTAGGAGCTCCGTAGGGTCCAGATCCGGACCATGGTCCGATAATCTGTGACCTCCGCCTTAGAGGAACCAGTCCACCCAAAGTAAGCATAAAGCTTCAAGGTATGCTACGAGAAATAAAACTTTAGTGCAAGCCTACTAAAGTCTATGCATCTTTAGAAACACTGAGCAGAGTCAGAAAAAATCCTCATGAAACAACAGTTCAAAATATTTAGAAACTATATCCTACCTGCCGTCGTGGGTGTAGGTCTGAGGAGGAGGAGCAGGAAGCTGGGTCACAGGGCTCTGATGGGGTGCTGGGTTGGGCTGAGCAGCAGTGGGGTTGGGTTCTGCTGGTGCTTGGTTGGACTGGGAGGCTGCGGTGTTGGGCTGCACCTTTGGACTGTGCTGATGAGCCATGGGGCTCTGCTTCTCTGACGTCGGCGCTGAAGGAGGGTTGCTGAGATCTAGAAACACCAAGAAAACAATACATTTGTTTGGTTTTTTGACTACTTTATTTTCTGCTAATCAGGAACTAGTTGTAGGTATAACTAGAAAACTGTACGTTTGACAATACCTTTGTGGTTTTAGGCAATTCAAGTAGAAAATGTTTACTTCAGCGCAGCTTTTTTCTAAAACAGATTGGCAACAATCTGGCAACACTTTAAACTAGGAGCTTTACAAATTATAACTGTATAACTCTGATTGAAACAGAGAATCAATATAATTAGTTATTTTGCACTTGGAAAAGGCATCAACTAATTCACTTTTTTAAGATTTGTACAACCAAGACTAATGTTCGGTGAAATAATCATCTAAAGAAAAAGAGTTGAGCACCACACCACATATTTTACATCATATGTCCATCAATACGAAGCGATAAGAGATATATCTATACATATAAAAAAAAATTCTACTCTGAAAGCGTTGCTTTTGCATTCAGCCCCCTTTACTCTGACACTCCTAAATAAAACCCAGATCAACCAATTACCAATTAAAGTAAAAATTTGTAAAAGCTGTTTTGTGCGGCACTGATAGGACTGTTTGGGATATTTAGAGAACAAATAGCATCACAAACACCAAAGAAGAAGCCGCTCTGTTGTGAAGAAGTTTACCGCAGAAATTGGGTCATGAAGCAAACAAATGAAAACACTGAACTTTGTTCAATGCATCATTTAAACCCACCAAGATGCTTCCATCCACCTAAGCTGGCTAAAAGGAAACCATTAATCAGAGAAGCAGTAAAGAGGCTCATGGGAACTATCTCTATAGTTATGCTGCTATAGGCTTAGACTGCTGGAGGACATAGGGACCCCTTTTTCATCATTCTGCTTCATTGTATCTCTATTCTCCCACTCTGCAGAATCTGTTAGTTCAATCTCTGACGTTCTGCTCTCTCTGCTTTTTCTCAGAGTAGCTTTGCCTCGTATGTCCTTGTTTGGCTGTGACTCCATCCTGGAGAGAAACATCAGCTGTGCTGCTTCCATCAACACCCTTCTTTATAGATGCTGTTTTCCAGTGTAGTCCCGTTTCTCTGACTGTGACTGAGTGGATGTGCTCTCTTCATCCTCTGACATGGGAGCTGGCTCGGAGCTCGTCTGCCTGGCTGTGTGTTTCCTGGATGGGGCCGCCTTTTACAGCTGCTTTCTGTATCTCTGCTTCTGTCTCCTTGAACCCCAGTGGGCCTCAGCAGATGGCCGCTCACACTGAGTCTGGTTCTGCTGGAGGTTTCTTCCTGTTAAAAGGGAGTTTTTCCTCTCCACTGTCGCCACAAGCATGCTTAGTATGAGGGATTGTATTTGAGTCAATGAGTCACGGTAGGAGCCAATTATTTTTTCTTAATAATTAACAAAGTTTTTTTTTATTTTTGTGGATAATCTAGCTAATTTTATTCAACTTTATTTTGTTTTTTTTTTCTGGTTATTTAGTTTTGTTCCTGTGTTTCTGGTTAGTTATTATTAATTTGGGTGAATTAAGTTTCTAAATCGGCTGTCAATGGTAGGACCAGCATGCATCTGGGTGGACGTATGTATTTTTACCAGCGTAAATGAAGCATGTAGAAAATGTTTGTCTTTTTCTGCTTGCCTGAGGAGAAATAAACTAAGAAAACTGAAGCAGTTTGCTTGAAACATTTTTTTCTCTTGCCGGCGTAAATTACTTGGTGCATCTGTGGCCTTTGTGGACCTTTTTTTTGTGTCATCAAAGCTGGGCCACAACAAGTACATTTTGAAAAAAAAGTCAAACAAATAAAAAAAAACACACACCATGTCAGGGACACAGCGGACGTGTGTCAGAAGGTGATTGGAACCTCAAACAAAATATTTCAGATGGAAAATCGGAACTGGATCAGCTATTTCTGCCATCAACATGGTAGTGGCAGTATCATGCTGAGGGGATGCTTGAAAGGAAGGCAGGTTTCTTTCTTTTAATAATAAGGAAACATCAAAAGGTAACTATTGGATTCCCTTTTATTTAAGGGGTGTCAGAGTAAAGGGGGTCTGCTTTTTCTGGCAACAGTTCATCGCATAAAAATCACTGAAATTAGAAGCTGGAATGTGATGAAAGAAGATCTTTGTTAATTAAACCATTTTGGAACAAAAAACATTTTTGATAGCTTCATAAAAAAGGAAATATAATAATAATAATATAATAATCTCATTAAATATATCTACTCCGCTGCTTATTTTTACAAAATATTGCCAGTTTAGGATTTTTTTTTTCCCCCATCCAAGAAATCAGGGAATAAAAAACAAACATTGGTATCAAACTTGGACCATTTTAGACCCAAAGTAAAAAAGGGAACTAAATTTTAAAAGGTAAGAAACAGGATGCTGGATGTATTTTCTTATAACCTCTGTTTGGATCAATCTTTAAAAGTCGTTTTCCTGCTAAAATAAGATGAGATTTGAGAAAAATCCATCAAGTTTTCATCGTTGATGCTTCTGTTAACCGATTGCTGCCATTATATCATTATATCTAAAAAAAAAAAGGGGATTAAAGTTAAAAGACTGGCAGATAACTGCACAGCGTTAATTCTTTGTTTAAATCCAGACGATGGCAAAGAACAGAACAGGAGCTCGTCCAGCTGTTCATCTACAATGTAGGTCAGCAATGTTTGCTGTAGTAACTTAAAGCCTGTTAGGAATGGATGTTTTTAATGTACATGTTTGTAAAAGCAGATTAAAAACTGCTTAAAGACTCAAACTATAAGGTTTGTTAAAAGGCAGTGAGTGTGGGTTTTATGCAGATGTTATTATATATGATAAAAGATAAGCAGTTAAGTTTAAGGAATTTCATTTAGAAGTTTTGAAGAAAAAGATGAAGGGAGTTTGAAGGCTATAAAAACCATTTCTGAAATTTAATCGTCTGCTTGTTTGTGTCCATGTTTTCTCACCTTCCTGTGGAATGATCCTCAGCGTGACACTCAGGCCTGCGTCCTTGATCAGCTTGACGATGTCGGCGTGCGGCATGCTGACGATGGACTGGCCGTTCACCGCCAGGATCCTGTCTCCCACCTTCAGCTTCCCGCTGCGGTCGGCCGGGCTTCCTTCGATGATGCGGCCGATTTTATGGGGCACAGCTGTTGGATTTGGGTGGGGATGCAGGTGAAGGAGCAGTCGAAACAGAGGCATCAGACTCAAGGACTGCCACTGCTGCACAAACCTCACCGCCTGAATGACTTGTGTCTGTGCCTCTCTCTAATTTTTGCTTTCCGCTGCATGCTTATGTAAGAAATCCAGGATATTTTCATGCATGTGGGCGAAGCGCTGATGCTTTCAGCAGCAGAGTGAAGATGTGTGTGACTGACGTGCAGTGGGAGGGTTTCCATTATAAATGAGCTAGACAGGGGCCTGCTTCACATTTTTCCTGCCAGGACTCGGAGATTTCCAAAACAGTTTCCCAGAAACAAACAAATTCCCAAAGATGGATGGATAGAAAATTAAAGACAACCGAAGGGTAGGCGGGATTTTCAAGGGATTGTCTTTGCAGATTTAGACCAATTGTTGTGTATAAAAGCCAGGTGGCAGGGCCTACCATAGAAAACAAAATAATTACCCCCATTAAAATGGTTCATAGTTCTATTTGCATTTATAATCCATTCAGGTGTAAAATATTGGCTTTAACAGTAAAGCCACTTTTCTCTCTGCCGTAACATCCTCTCTCCTCTCAGCAGCCTTCTCTAGGACACCAAGCGCACAAAAGGTTCGACTTTCCATTTGCTTTATTACTTCTACATAATAGCAGCTACATCTGCAAAATTTCCATAATCTGATCTAAATCTTGTTTGATTGGACATCCAAATCTTTGTTTACATGGACACTAAATAAAAAGATCCAATCATGGGGTGTGTCTAAATCAGGGTTTATACAGGAATAATTTAATGCTTTTTTAATGCTCTTAAAAATAATTTTAATGCAACAAGTACCCATGACTCTAATTCCTTCTTCATCTTTACTGTCGGCAGGCTGCAATTCCTTAACCTGACTTCGCCAGATGGATTTGCTGGATTTGCTCCGCATATCCATCTGGAAACCTTC